CCAACAACCCAACAACCTATAACTCCAGCTCAAAGGGATCCAATACACTCTTGTGGCCTTCATGGGCTCCTGCATGCACATGGCAGACACACATATTGTGTACACAGACATATAAACAAAAAATAAGCCCAGCATGGTGGTGCAAGCCTATTATACTTTCTTGGGAGTTGGGGGTGATTGGCTACATAGCAGGGTAGAGGCCAGCCTGGGCTACACAGAACTCTGTGAAGGAGAAAAGGATGAAGAAGAAAAGGAGAAGGGGAAAGAAGAAAGAAGAACAAAAGAAACAATGCAAAGGTCCTTAGAGAAAGAAATGAAAACTTGGCCATCTCTGCTGCCCTGAAATTTTATTTGGAGAATTGAGTGATACCCAAAACTCCCAAGCTTTGGACCACATAGGCTGTGCTTGCAGGAGGGGTTTTAGCTATTGCAGAGTCTCTACAAAGTTTCAGGTAGACATAGAGAAAAACAGCTGCTTCAGAGATACATCTCTAGAATATCACACCAAAGCACCACCTGGAGTCCCAACTTGGTCCCTTTAACCATAAAATAACTCCTCTGAGACTCAGTTTTCTCATCTGTCAAATGGGAGATGATGATGCCACCTACCTCAAGTTACACCCTTGGTCTGGAGCTTGGGGTATGAGATGAAGTCAATATACAAGACTATTATTGTTATTCTGGTGGGGGTGGGCAGCTACACTCACTCACAGGCTGGAGGAAGTTCCTACTGGAATATGAATGGGGTGATGAATTCCCTTTTAGGTAGAAGTCACCAACTTCTAAACCAAAGCAGTACTAATGTTTGGACCAGATTATACGATCTCAGGTGAGCTACCCCTATCACCTCCAACTCCCAAAAGATTACAGGCTTGTACCAACATGCTGGGCTTGTTTTTTATTTATATGTCTGTGTATGTGTCTGTGCTTCTGCCATATGCATCCATCCCAGTTCCTCATCTCCGTTTCCTAATCCACTAAGAAGCTACTTACTGTAGCACTGTTCACAGCAGGCAAGGTAGGGAATCGTGGAAGGTGACAGAAGAATGAACGGACAGATATACATATATACATACATACATACATACATACATACATATTAGATGGCCACAGACATGGTGGAATACCATTCAGCCATTAGAAGGAATGAAATTGCATCGTTTGTGGCAACATAGAGATCTTAATGTTAAGTAAAACAAATAAGACACAGAAAGATAAATACTCCTGAGATCCTAAACTAGAGAGCAGAGGAGAGGTCATTGGAGGCCAGGAAGGGTAGGGAGGCTGGGAAAGGGAGAGATATTGGTTAACAGTTAACAATGTAACAGCAGAGGAATACAGCAGGTAACAGGTAACTGCAGGAGAATACAGCAGTTGACAATAGAATTGACAGAGGACTACAAAAGGTAACAATGTAACTGCAGAGGAATACAATAGGTAACAATGTAACTGCAGAGGAATATACTTCTGACTCTATTACAAAAGGCTATTTATGGTCAGCCATCTTGTATCATATAAAATAGTTACAAGAGGATGCTTTAAAAAAAGTTTGACAGGGTCTCATTAAGTAACCCTAGCTATCCTGGGACTCCCTCTATAGAGCAAGCTGGCCTCCAGCTCAGAGACCACCTGCCTCTGTACTCCCAAGTGCTGGGATTAGTGTTTCATCACACCAGGCCAGAGAATACTTCTAATGTCTTGTCACAAAGAAATAATTGATGTTTGAAATGATGAGCAATCTAAGTGTCCTGAGTTGCTCAATATAGTCTAAACATATCCCAGACCACCACACTGTGCCCATGAAGATGTACAGTTACGTTAGTTAAAAGGAAGAGAGATGACTGTTGCCCACATGAGCAATGCAACTCTGAGGCCAGGTTCAAAACAGTCCAGTGAATTTAGGAGACACACACACAGTCCATATCCTCAACCCCTTCAAGCCTCCATGTCTGCCTTCCTTAATATCTCCCTAGACTATTTGATACACCCTAAGGCCCTATGCCTCAAACTGCCAAACAAGAATGAAAGCCCCCCACACCACTCAACTCTACAGTGTCACAAAAAATATATTATCATCATATCATCATTTAAGTCACACTTGGGATCCGCAAGATACTTCAGAGGGTAAAGGCACCTGTCACCAAGCTAGAAGACAAGAGTGGTAGTCCAGAACCCGCATGTGGAAAGAGAGAACCAGATCCTGAAAGTTGTCCTCTGACCTCCACACTTAAGCCATGGCACACTCCTACACACACACACACACACACACACACACACACACACACACACACCTTTTTAGAGTGTAACTAAGTTGTATTCACTTCTCCCACCCTCTACATAGCTCTCAGCTTGGTACGCTGGCCTCCCACAGGGTGCACAGGTCCCACCATGAGGAGCTAGACCCATTGGTCAGCTTTACAGAAAACTCTACCCACGTCCCTCTGCTTCTCAGGCCTTTAGAAGAGAGGGTCCCAATGGCTTTGTGGTGGCACCACGTTGAAATTCAGCTCTGCAAATGGCTGGCTCCCTGTGACTTATATTGGAGTCCTCACCCTCTTGTCTGACCAGTGGTGTTGCAAGTTAGGAGTATACACCTTCACCCCACCCAACAAGGTTTCCTTAGGCTGTGATGTCCATGAAGGCCCTGAGTCAAACACAAGTATTCCAGTCACCCCTATCCAAAAGGTCTGAAGATTAACCCAGATTCTTAATCAGTCTGGAGAGGAAAGCAAAACCAATTTCACCCCAAGCCCCTGACACTCTGAATTTACAGACCTCATTGCCTGGAGGGAGCCGAACTCTATCAGCAAGATGAAATCTAAAATTAGAATCAAACTGTGGAATTTCAATTGCAGTCCCCAGAATACAGCCTGCCATTCCACAGACCAGGAATAGCATGGTGTGATGGTGCCAGACAAAGGAAGAAAGGACATTTTGCAAACCACAGCCAGGGCCACAGTTGACTCAGGGAAAGAACATGAAGGGTAGGGCCAGCATTCAACAAGGGTCTGCGTGGTGATCAAAGCTACAGGCAGCAGATATGTGAGGACCTGGCTGGGGTGCAGCAGGGACTCTGCCAAGGGATGTGACCTCTCTCCAACTGTCTCTTGTCTTTTAAAGCCTCAATTTCCAAAAAACAAAGCAACAATGACCCCCCAGGCTCTGTGGAGCCTGGCACATACCGGGTGGAGGAAGGAGCACTAAGGGGTTGAGTGAGCCTCCTCTTTGTAGTTTTTAAAATTACATTTGTTTAATCTATTTGTTGCTGGGATGGGGCATGTGGAGCCGAGGACAACTTACAGGAGTCAGTTTTCTCTTTCCACCAAGTGGGCCCCAGGAATCAAACTCTGGTTATCAGGCTTGACAGTAGGCACCTTTGCTGATGAGATCTCCCAGTCCAGGGTGAAACTCCTTAGGAAAGGAGGAAAAAAATAAACAAAACAAAACAAAACCAGGAGCTTGGAAGAAGGCTCAGTCAGTAAAGTGCTTGCTGTACAAACATGATGAAGTCTTGAGTGTGATCCATAGAAGAGTCAGGCACAGCTACATGTGACTGCATGTAGTTGTAACCCCACTGCTGGGGGTAGGGGAAGCAGAGACATGTGGGATTCTGGAGTTCACTGGCCAGCCAGATTTGTGGAGCTCTAGGGTCACTGAGAGACCTGGCCTCAAAATAACATAAGGTGAAAGCAGGTATAGTGGCTCATGTCTTTAATCCCAGCTCAAGACCAGCCTGGTCTACATAGTTCTAGGACAGTCAGGGCTCCTCCATAGTGTCTCAAAGGAAAAAGTAGAGAATGATCAAGGAAAACCTCAAATCCACCTCTTACATCCACAGGTTCACACCATACATGCATACATATGACATGCAGACACATCACAAATTCAGGATCCACGTGGGACCCCAGAAAGAGCCCTGGTAAGGGACAGGCCCTTCAGAATCTGTCTCCAGTGTCCCTGTCACCAGCGAGTGTGTTAGGTTACACTGTTGGTACACGGTAAGGCCTCAGTCAGTGCTGTTTTCTAATGATGAGACGATGGTAGGGAAACGGGTCAGGCTGGAGAAAAATGCTAGCATTTGTAGAAGGAGGAAAGTTTGGCTGGTCCATCTGCACTGAGCAGGATAATGACAGAGAACGAATCCCCACAAGCTCCTTAGCCCTTCCTCAGTCCCAAAGCTCTAATCGGAAAACCACACGTAACCCTAAGCAAATCACACCCCATCCCTGAGCAGAGACCTGCCCAGGAAAATGCTCCTGGGAAACATGCAGAATTGCCTCTTCTTGTGTCCAAGGAAACTCTTCCTTCCAGGAAGCAAAGAAGCCTCTTCAGTGATTCTCACCCTGTGAGTCGCAACTCCACTGGGGTTACATATCAGATATTTACATTACAATTCATGGCAGTGGTAAAATTGCTACATGAGGAACTGTATTAAGGGTCTCAGCGTTGGGAAGGTTGAGAACCACTGCTCTAGGTGAGATGCCGGCTACCCCTCCCGTCTTCCTAGTGCAAACAGCAGGCTGGTGGGCCCCGGGAAGCCTGCTCTAAGATGGGACAAGGTTTTCTCAGAGGCAGAAATGGGCACCCCTCGGAGAGTGTGTAATAAGTAGTTCAGCCCCAGTCATTAAAATCATCAGGCTGGGCTAGAGGTGTGACTCAGATGTGGACTGCTCGCTTAGCATGCACGAAGCCCCGGGTTCTGGGCCCAGCACTGTAAAAACAGGGATGGTGGTGCCCGAGTCTGTAATCCCAGCACTCAGGGGGTAGAAACAAAAAGATCCAAAGTTCAAGGTGATCCTTGGCTACCTAGTGAGTTGGAGGCTCTGGGCTACATGAGACCCTGCCTCAAAAGAAACAATTCAGTTCTTGTCGCCTTCCCTGAGATTGGGCAATACCAATACAGCTTCCTCCCCAAATCCCTCCTTTCTCTTCTCCTCCCCTGGGTTTCTTCAGGCAAGAGGAGGCGGGGCGCATATGCAGATGGGCGTGGTCTCATTCCAGCCCAGCCAGAGCAAGCTCTGGGGCCAGATCTACTGAGCCCAACTTGCACATGCACCCACACCTCCCCAATTGCCCGTCCCTACGCTGAGCTTGCCCTTTCTGAAGCCATCATGTCTGTGACCAAGAGTGCTGGGAGTCCCCAGGTAGCCGCCACTGTCAAGCTGGACCTTGTGTCATCTCCTGAGAGTACCAAGAAGATGCAGAGCCAGGATCCCAGTGTCGCGAATGAGAACTCTTCAGAGTCATCGAAGAAGACCAAGGGCATAACGTGAGTGTATGCAGCTCCCTGCCACCCCATGCCTGCTTCCATCAGCTCCCAGCCTGGACCTCCAGGTGGGTGTGTCTGACCCTCAACCCACTGTGCTGCCAGGAATGCTAAAGAGGAAAAAGTGGCAGCCACAGGCTGTGTCAAATAGCAAAGCTGAGGCCAGGTTTAGAATCTGAAAAGCCCTGAGAGGGAAACTGAGGCCCAACAGCTTTAAGCCACATGCTAAGGTTTACAGGCAGAGAAGAGGCTAGAATATAGTGCTGTCTGATAAAGTCAGTTGGGGCTTTTGGTGTCTAGGAAGGGAGACAGAACTTGGAAGGAAGTCGGGATCAGACCACAATGGCCTCAGGAACCAACAAATAAGCCTCTCCCTGTAGCAAGCCTGGCCCCTGCTGCCACTAAGGTTGCAGTGGTGTTACTCAAAGAACAGTCTGCAGAAGATTCTAGTTTCTTCCATTTCCTGGAAGATGGGTTCTGGAGAAGGGAGCATTCACAAAGTTTTTCAGAACATGACAAGCTGCAGGGCTCCAGCATGCTCTCCCTCATTTAACTTCACCAATACAGCCATCCAGCTAGCTCAGGCTCACACTTTAAGAAGAAAGTGGGACAACATCAGGGTTATATGGCACTTAACAGAGGACCAGAAGGACTGGATTCAGGTGGAATCCTGCCCTTCTCTCCTCCGAATCGACTTTCCTCATATGTAAAGCAGGGAGGAGCAGGTATGACCCAGCACATTAAAAGGAGTGTGAGTGTGTGTGTGTGTGTGTGTGTGTGTGTGTGTGTGTGTACTGCAAGTGAATATGGAGGAGAAGAATGTGTGGCAGAGAGGGAGAGGGTGCTGAAGGAATGGACTCAGTCTCTCTTCACAAGACACTGCCAGCCGTGTGACATGGCTCCTTTGTCCCTGGAACTGGTCCTAGGCCTTCTAAGTGCTAGAGATTACTAGAGTGAGCTGTGGAGACCCCTGAGTCACCTACAGGAGAACAGGGGTATTTCTCAACTTTGAGAGAACCAAGTGACTCTTGTCCTGTGTCCAGGGTGGTTGAGGGGGCAATTTCGGCTAGAGAGGACCTAGCGGGCCTTGGAGATAAGTCATATAGACTGAGTAGCATGCAGCTGATGGAGTCTGGCCTCTTGGGTTCAGTTCCCACTTACCAGCTGGAGAAAGTGAGAGTCTAGAAATGATGGCTTGCTCCTCCCAGGATGACCACACCTTCCATGTGAGCTGGAAGTCCCCAAGCATAGTACTTGTGTGTTCTAAGCTGCTTTAAAATATCTGTGATGGTGGTCCCAGGTCACCAAAGGAGTCAAAAATGAAACCCAAGCCTCTTAGCTCCTGAGTCAAAATTTTGTGTGACTTAGCACACTGCAAACTGGCTGAATGGCTGCGAGCTAAATTCTGATTTCCAGTCCTTTAGTTAGAAATTTCCTAAGTGACCCATTGACCCCTTCCCGGTTGCAAAACAGGCCCATCACTGGGGGCCGGGGGTTTAGATCTCTGTCAGCAATGTTGACACCCACAGGGAAAGGCAAAGGCATGCTGGGCTCTCCACCCCCTTTCTCCTCCGATTGTTCTTTAACTCCTACCAATCTGATGCTAGAGGGCTTGTGGGTTAAGGCAGAGACTGGGAGTTGGGTGAACTCTTTCAAAATAGCATTTTTCTTCACATTTGCAGAGGCTCTCCAGAGCCAGACATGTGCCCCCATAAAATGACAGAGCTGGGTAAGTAGCAGCCTTGGGTTGTAATCCTGGTTTGTCTGATTCCAGAATCCAGGCTCCTTCCAGGCTCCTGTCACTGATTTAAGATGATCTGCGGGCTGCAAGGGTTTTTGGGGAATTTTTAAGACTTCTAAAGGGTTAGATAGAAACTTAGGGCCCTGTTTCACAAGGTCAGGATACAGAGACATCTGAAATAAAGATGGGCTTGAAATTCACTGGGAGAGAAATTCCCAACTTGGAATTTTTCTCTCTTAATGACATTGTCCTCTGGATCAACTGCACATCTCTCTTAAATAGTAAATTGAGGCTGTGGGCACAACTCAGTTGGTAGAGTTCCTGTGGAGAGGGCACAAGGCCCTGGGTTTCATCCCCAGTACTGCATGAAGTGGGCATGGTGGCACACACCTGTAGTCCCAGCACTGGAGATGTGGAGTGGGACAATCAGAAGTTCAAGGTCACCCTCGGCTACATAGTGAGTTTGAGGCCAGCCTGTGCTACATAAGACCCTGTCTCAAAAAAAAGAGAGAAAGAGAGGAGGAAGAGAGATGGAGAAGGAGAAAGAGAGAGGAAGGAAGGGAAGAAAAGAAAGAAAAAATCATGAGTGTGTAGGTACTGAAGGCATTATTCAGTAGTAGAGCCTTTGCCCAGCATGCACAAGGCCCTGGGAGTGACCCCAAATACCATAAGTAAGCAATAACAGAAAGAGTGCAAGTCCTTTGCTTTAGTTTGGGTTTTATTGGGTTAGAGGTCCATGCCATTCTCCAGACAAATGTCCTGGGCTAAGAAGAAAAGAAAACCTCTCTGGAGAACAATCCCCAGATGACCCAGGTCACTTGACCTATGACTAAGAAATCATAGGTACTTTTGTCCTGTCTGCCTCTCCCCCTAGTCTTGGGGTGCAATCCTGACTCTGCCACAACTCAGGAAGTCAGGTTAGTCTCTGAGCCTCAGTTTCCTCCGTGATGACTCAGGGCTTTCCCTTTCTGCCCTTGTCCTGGATCTGCCTCCTAGAATTCAGCAGAAGCAGAAAAACAGAGCTGTGAAACAGATTGGCTTCCAGCCCTGGCTCCCAGTGTATCCATGGTCAAATCATTTAGGTACTTTTATGCCTCCATTTCCCATCTGCAAATTAAAACTCACAACAGTGCCTACCCTATTATCTTGCCAAGAAGACAAATGATATACATACTATTTAGTACAGTGACTCATATAGCCATGCTTCGTGGCATAGACTTCGCATGGAACAGTTCTGGACAACTTGGGTTGGGTGGTCACCTCCAGGAGACCCACATGTGCCAGGCAATGATACAGGAGCATCAAGGTGGCTGTGAACTTACCTGCCCGGTTTAACTGAAGTATTGACATGCGATGAGGGAATGGCTGCTAGATTCTCTCCCATCCCATGTCCTCAGCCCTCCTTCTTCTCCTGCAGTGGGTTCCAGACATTGGTTCATCTGGTCAAAGGCAACATGGGCACGGGGATCCTGGGACTCCCCCTGGCTGTGAAGAACGCAGGCATCTTGGTAAGAGGAATGGCAAAGTGAGGCCATTATGAAGAGTTGTGGGATGGGGGAGGAGACAGTGATGGGTTAAAACACCCTGTAGCAGACAGTGTCTCTGGGTTAGGTAACTGACATGGACCTAGAATCCAACTATCGAGCCTGAGTCTGAGTTCTGACTTGGCTACAGACGCCAGGAGTTCAGTCAGCACTGTTGATCACTCTCAGGCCTCAGCTTACTCTTTCGTAGAAGTTAAGGGTTGGAGTTGGACGGGTTATCCAATCTGGCTTTACAGAGCCTCGGTGTCCCCGAGGACACCTCAGAGGCCACCAAAGGAACACGTGGTCAAGACTTTAGTTCCCCTACTCCCATCACAAACTTCATCATGATTGCTATGTGTACTTTTTGGACATTACTTGAGATTGCTTTCGGAAAGACAAGCAAAATGGCTTTCAACTCAGTTTTCTAGAAAGTTCTTTCAGAGATAGCAAATGGCTCAGTAGATAAAGGCACTGGCTGCCGAGTCCAATGACCCAAGTTTGATCCCTGGAACCCACATGAGAGAATGAGAGAGAGAGGACCTCCTCTGACCTCTGTGCCCTAACCTCCATGCATGTACTGTGGCATACTGGAGTCCCCACCCCCAATAAGTGTGTGTGTGTATGTGTGTGTGTGTGTGTGTAGGGGGTGTCCTTGAGCCCTTAGCAGTATTTGCCCTACTAAATTATCTTCTCTCCCACCTGTTCATGTCTGACCTGCCTGCAGATGGGCCCGCTCAGTTTGCTGGTGATGGGCCTCATTGCCTGCCACTGTATGCACATCCTGGTCAGGTGTGCCCAGCGCTTCTGTCACAGGTGAGGAGTGTCCCATGTCTGGGGTCTCGGGAACATCCCCCAAACCTCTTACATTAGAAGAGTTTCCTTCTCCATAGTCTCCATGATTGCCAAGAAAAAAAGCTTCAGGGATGGAGAGATCTCTGGAGAGGTCTGGACACATGGTTCCTTAGGTGACCTCAATCTGCCCTGTCTGGTCTGCCCACCTGGATAGTGAGTGTAGACAACCCTTGCCTGTCCCTGCCTCTAAGAGTTAAACCCAGTTCAGTGAGAACCATGGGTCTAGGCACCACTATACCCCTGCCAGACGTGTTGTTGTTCATGCTGTGTGGTAACTCCTCAACTTACAGGTGAGAACAAAGCACAATGGAATTACAACCAGACATCATAGCCTCCATTGGAACCTGCTGTGTGGACTTCGTGTTCTTTGCACGCTGTATCTGTGTGGTCTTGGTCTGGGTCCCTTGACTTTTTTTTTAACCTGTGAGTTGTGGGGCATGGAGGAATCCCTGAGTAGATGTGTAAGGAGTGGAGAAAACCCTGAGTGGATATGTAGTTTTGACATGTGCCCTGGCAGAGCAGGGGGGTGGTTAGGTGGGAGAGGCTATTACTTTGAAGCAGGGAGCTTGGACTTGGCAGGATATGTTCCAAGGACACAAGTGTGTGGCTGGGAGTCTGGACTGCAGGTCAGGTGGCAGAGGGGTGGGAGAGCCTGGACTGCAGGCCTTGAAAGTATGCTGTACAGGAAGATAAGCAGACACAGAGACATAGAAGCATAACTGTGGCCGGGCATTGGTGGCACACGCCTTTAATCCCAGCATTCGGGAGTCAGAGGCAGGTGGGTCTCTGTGAGTTCGAGGCCAGCCAGGTCTACAGAGTGAGCTCCAGTATAGCCTCCAAAACAATACAGAGAAACCCTGTCTCGAAAAACAAAAACAAACAAACAAAAAAAAAGAAACTTAACTGTGTTAGTCTCAAAGAATACAGTATGAATATAAAGATGACTTTTATTATGCTATCCTTATTTAAGACCTTCCACAACTGGCAATATTTACAAGAGGTCCTATATACTAATGATCGCTCCCGGCAGACAGTGATCACAGCCAATGCCCCCAAAGCCTTCCCAAGGTGAAGCTCAAAGAGATAGCAAAACCCTCCTCTGCTCCTAGAGTGACTGTTGCTAGTATATGAAGCAACTGGCAGCCACAGCTTCCTCTTCAGGGTTGACAGCAGCCTGTGGCTGCTCCCTGACAGAGACCTCCTACCCAGATTATGTAAACCCGCCTCCTTGTTCAGCTGTGCACACTAAGCCTGGCTCCTCAGCCAGATGGATACAATAAATGAACTGGGGTTCTGGCTGCTGTGGTTGGTGCCTCACAGCAGAGCGAGCATGGCCGCACTGGATCCCAGCTTTTCTGTACGTCGGTCTGTCCTTTTCCTTTCTTCCTTCCCTCATCGTTCCAGTTAGATCGATCTCTGGATCAGTGCAGAGCATTGCAAGGAGCGTACGCATGTGTGCATGCATGTACACATGTGACATAGCACACTGTGGAGGTCAGAGGACAGTCTCAGCTGTCAGTCCTGGCCTTACGTCTTGTTTGGAAAAAGGTCTCTTATTCACTGCTGCATATACCAGGCCACACAGCCAACACAGTGGCAGGGATTCAAGGACTCTCCTGTTTCTACCTTTCATTCTGCAGGAATTACGGACCTGTGCTACTGAACCTGCTTTTAGGTGGGTTCTGGGATTTGAACTCAGGTCCTCATGTTTACCCGGCATCTCCCCAGTTTAGCCTCTCATCTCTTTAAAATCATAATCTTGCCGGGCTGTGGTGGCTCACGCCTTTAATCCCAACACTTGGGAGGCAGAGGCAGGCAGATCTCTGTGAGTTCGAGGCCGGGCTGGACCAATAGCCTCCAAAACCCTGTCTCGAAAAACCAAAAAAAAAAAAAAAAATCATAATCTTAGGTTAATCTGTCTCTTACAATGCCATATGTGCTTTGTCCTACAGACTCAACAAGCCCTTCATGGACTATGGGGACACAGTGATGCACGGACTGGAAGCCAGTCCCAATGTCTGGCTGCGGAACCACGCCCACTGGGGGAGGTACCTCGTTCTCTCTTTGTTTACACTAGGATAGGATATGAAGGAGAAAGCAATACTTCTTTCCTGACAAGGTGGCTCCGAGGTCAGACTCTCCACAGGGAGGAAGGTCACTGCCAACATCACCTAGCCAGTTCTATAGCTCTCATGATAGGTGTTCATTTACTGTACATTTTTAGGAAACCACAGTTTTCCCTGCCAACAGCACAGGGAAGGAGACTGCTCTGGCATTACCCATGGTTCATTGGGAAGGACAGACAGCCTAGAGCTTGATTATGCAACACCCATGGGATACACATGAAAGAGGTTCTGGCTACTACCAAATGGGTCAAGGGTTATGGGGGCCAAGGGAAGGGGGGTGTGTCAGGGCCAGGGTGGCTTCCCTGGGACAGCTGGGATGGACTCTACAGAAAGCAGCCTTGAAGGATGAAAAGTTACTTAGTGGGGAGAAGGCAGGGTCTAAAGGACCTTTCCGGAAGGGGCAAAGCTGGGGTGCAAGCCGCATGGAGATGTGACAGGTTCATGCTACAGAAAGACCAGGTGGCAAGAAGGCAGAGTCAGGGTGGGGAGACTGAGGAAGGTGCCCAGTCATATTGTCTATTTTAGTTTTAGTTGTTTCATATGTAGTTATTTGTTTGGGGGAGGGATTCATGCAGAGGTCAAAGGACAATCCATGGGAGTTGGTCCTCTCCTCCTCTCATGTGAGTCTCAGGGGTTGAACTCGGGTCATTGGTTTGGCAGTGAGCATCATTATTTACTGAGCCATCTCACTGGCCTATAGTGTGTATTTCAGACCCTCCCTAATAGCTTGTTATTTTCTTTTCAAAGAGTATTTATTTGTATTACTTTTAACTATATGGGGTGTGCATATGAGTACAAGTGCCCCCAAAGGCTGGAAACATCAAATCCCCTGGAGCTAAAGTTATATCTGGCTGTGATGTAGGGCTTGGGAACCAAACTCTGGTCTTCTGCAAATGCAGTATATGCTCTTAACCACTGAGCCATCTTGCCAGCAGAAAGCAAGAGAGATTTTAATTTTAAAGCATGTGTTCATTCTTGAAAGGTTCGTCTAGCTTCTGTGAGACTATAAGGCAGCAAAGGGCAGACTTTGGGGAGGAAAGGGTTATTCAGTTTACACTTCAGCATTGCAGTTCATCATTGCAGGACAGGGCAGGATCCCAGAGGCCAGAGCTGATGAAGAGGCCATGGAGGGGAGCTGCTTATTGGCTTACTTCCCCTGGTCTGCTCAGCCCACCTTCTTATAGAACCCAGGACCACCTGCCCAGGGATGGCACCACCCACCATGGGCTGGGCCCTCCCTCAATGATCACTAAATGAGAAAATGCCTTACAGCTGGATCTCACTGAGGCATTCCCTCAACTGAGGCTCCTTCCTTTGGTGACTCTGGCTTGTGTCAAGTCCACACACAAAACCAGCCAGTGCAGCTTCAGTGGGTCAGGTGGTACTTTTGACATTGCATCCAAACTTTGAACAGGATGTGTGCCATTGCTTAGGGCTTCACTGCCTGGCTTCTTAAAAGACTGGGCCACAGGCTGGGGAGATGACCCAGTGGATACAGCGCTTGCCACACGAGCATGAAGGTCAGAGTTCAGATCCCTCCGACCCATATTAAAGTCAGGGAGGCGGCCCACCTGGAATAGCACTTGGGAGTCCAAGACAGGATCACTGGGGGGGGGGGAGCTGGCATAACCAGATTAGCAGAATTACTGGGCTCTGGATTCAACAACAAACCTTCCCTCAATAATATAAAGTGGAGAGGGGTGGGGGAGGACACTTGGCATAAACCTCTGGCCTCTACACACACATATGCACATGCACACAGTGTACACAAACACCATGAGCATGCATATAGTCACACACAGTAAACATGCCTACACACAGGTAAACATGCATATAGTCACACACAGTAAACATGCATATAGTCACACACAGAAACATGCATATAGTCACACACAGTAAACATGCATATAGTCACACACATTGAACACGCATATAGTCACACACAGTAAACATGCATATAGTCACACACAGTAAACATGCATATAGTCACACACAGTAAACATGCATATAGTCACACACATTGAACATGCATATAGTCACACACAGTAAACATGCATATAGTCACAGACAGTAAACAAGCATATAGTCACACACATTGAACATGCCTACACACAGGTAAACATGCATATTCACTCACAGTGTACACACAGTGAACATGCATGCACAACACACTAAACATGCATACACAAACATGCACACAGTGAACATACATACACACACAGACCATAAAAGGGGAGGGTGAGGGAGAGAGAGACAGAGAGAGAAACAGAGAGAGAAAGAGAGAGAGAGAGAGAAACAGAGAGAGAGGAGAGAGAGAGAGAGAGAGAGAGAGAGAGAGAGAGAGAGAGAGAGAGAGAGAGAGAGAGAGAGAGAGAGAGAACGAGAACTCTAATTACTTCCTGGAATTCACTCTTTCTTGTCTCTACCCTTTCTATTTACACTGAGATTTCTTTCGCTATGGTCCTAAAAGACCTTTCTGTTGAGCCTTCCCTACCCTAGGGACATCTCAGCAGCTAGAGGGGCAGCCATTTCTTCTCCTTCTCTTGGCTCTGTTGGCCTTTCTCCCAGTTTCCTTCCCCATTCTCTATGTGTACTACACTGTAGGTCTCTGTCTATCAAACAGAGATAGACAGGGTTGTTCTGAAGGGTTGGTGTTGGGGAGGGTTTCAGCACCAGGTGTATTGAGAGGGGTGTGGTAAAGAAACTGCCGACATCACTGCTCCACGGTATGGTTAGGAGGAAGGTTTGTATAAGAGCAAGAACAGCCTGAGACATCCGGAAGAGCCCAGAGTAGAGAGAGAAAGTAGACTGACATGGCCAGCAGACTTGGCGTGGCTGGGACTATCTGTGAGAGAGGCCTGAAGAGCAGAGGATAGAGAATAGCGAAAGCATAGTAAGAATGGCCAGAACAGAGAAGAGTGGGGATAGGGGTTATAAAAAGGATGAGTAGCTGGGGGTGGGGAAGTTTGGGGTAGAAGAGGAGCAAGAAGGGCTAGGATACCAGCATGGACTTTGAAATGTGTAACGGGCCCTTGTGATACTGAGGGAGCCTGAAGGCCGGCCTGCACTTTGATAAGCAACCACAGGTATAGGTCAATAGAGAGCCTTATGTCCCTTCTGCCAGAGGTAAGGGAAATGACTCCTTTTGGCAAATGGAAGCCGGTTTCATCAGTTCCTGAGGAAGGCTGGCTTTTATCTAACCCCCAGAAAATCTATAGTCCAGCACACTAAGCATGTTTCTGGACATATGGACTGCCTTTTGGAGTTTGGGGAATTCGTTTCCTTTGGATCTGACAGTTGGGACCTCTACCCTTTCCTTTTCAGACTCTGCTTTTCAACCTTGATCTACCTCCTTGAGGCTTTGTCCATTGGCACAACTCAGCATCCCAGCTGCTAAGACACAGTGTTCAGCTTCAGATACCAAATGAGTGTGTCCTGTCCCCTTCTCCTAGGCCCATCCTTCCTCCTGAGCGGTCCAAGTCAAAACCAGGTACATCATGTAAGATATCTATCCCCTACCGGCTGGTCCATGGTCAGCGTCCCCAAACTTTGAACACACTTTCATCCCCCTGTCCTAGTGGCCACAGTTTCATGCAACTGCACTCTCCCTCTTCATGGAGGGAATCTGCTGTCACACCCCCTCTAGCTAGGTCTTGCTCCCACAGTGAACACTGCTCTTGGAAGGCAGTGAAGCCTACCTGTTCCCTCGCACAAACGCTTCCTCGTTCCTCTTTCTCCACCTCCTCCTCCTATTTTTTATTGTCTCTTCCTCCCTCCTTCTCTTCTTTATTCCTCCCTCTCTTCCTTTCTCTTCTTCTCCCCTTCCAAAGGTGCCTTTTCTTGTGTATTATTTTTCCCATTTTCACTTGTATGTGTGATGTGAGGACGTTTGCATGTGTAGGAGTACACGCAGGGCACATGTACGCTCGTGAATGTGGAGGCCTGAGGTTGATGTCAGAATCATCATCCATCACTCTTGCACTCGTTGAGGCCGGGCCTCTCAATCAAATCCAGAGCTTGCTGACATGGCTAATTTCATTAGCCGTCTTGCTATGGAGATCCATCTCCATTTTCCAAGGCTGGAAGAGCAACATGCACACCTGGCATCTATGTGGATTCTGGGGATCGGGACTGCACTAACTACTGAACTGTCTCTCCAGTCAATGGTAGTCTAAGAATGCTTCTTTCTTTCCATCTCCACAATTCATTAATATTCTCTGTCTCTGTCTCTCTCTGTGTGTGTGTGTGTGTGTGTCTCTGTCTCTGCCTCTGTGTGTGTGTGTCTCTGTCTCTGTCTCTCTCTGTCTCTCTCTGTCTCTGTCTCTCTCTGTCTCTTTGTGTGTGTCTCTCTCTGTCTCTGTCTCTCTCTCTGTCTCTGTCTCTGCCTCTCTCTCTGTGTCTCTCTGTGTCTCTCTCTGTCTCTCTCTCTGTGTCTCTTTCTGTGTCTCTGTCTCTGTCTCTGTCTCTCTCTCTCTCTCTCTCCCTCCCTCCCTTGTTCTCTCCCCTTTAGGATTAAAGGGAATGAAGACAGATTGGGGATAAATTATTGGGATTTACACATTTATTAAGACTTTTCTCACCAGACAAACTTTGATGTGGATATTTTCAAGTGCATATTTATACAAAATAATGGGTTTCATTATAACACTACGTCTCTTTTCACCATGGCCTCTAGAGCCATGGTATAATGCTAATTTCTTTGTATACATATGTGTGAGTGCATGTTCATATGTGTGCTGTTCTGTGGTGTGAATGTTCATGAATATTTATATACACATGGTGTCTTTTTCATTCACTTTATGCATATATATGTATCTCACTGAACCTAGAACTCACTGATTTGGCCACACTGGCAAGCCAGCACACTCCAAGGATACTTCTGTCTTCATCTTCCCAGAGCTGGGATTACAGGTGTGCACCACCACGCCTAGCTTTTTACGTGGGGACTTAGGGATCTGAATACAGGTCCTAACGCTTGTGAGCAAGCAAGAAATTGCATCATTCCTTCAGCCCATGTAATGCTAATTTCTACCCATCTTACAAACCATTCTAGTATAAACTCCCAGAGCAAGAGGCCCTGTGTTACTTATGTGTCTTCAATATCCAATGAAGTGTCTGGCACGTGTTAGGAAAAAATGTTTTATGTGTTCTGGGCAGCTGTGTGTTTGCCGTCAGTCACAGCGAGAGGAGGGATAAAGAATGCCATGGAGGCAGGTGCAACCCAGAGTCCCATCCCTGGGAACTTGACCGCTTACCCTGCTGTGAGTGTTCAACTGTTGTTTACAAACAGCCCTTGTTACCTCCCTCCCCCTGCCTTCTTGATAGTGGCCGAAAGATGGAGGGTGTTGGTACAGGGCCACCAGGTCTTGGGGACAGAGGGCACAATGGCAAGAAATAGAACAGAAATGTCAATTTCTTTTATAACAAGCATCTCTCCTCCTCCTCCCTCCAGGTACATCGTGAGTTTCTTCCTCATTGTCACACAGCTGGGCTTCTGCTGTGTGTACATTGTGTTTCTGGCAGACAATTTAAAACAGGTACGTTAGACAAGGTAGGAAGGGGAGGACACAGAAGGAAGATTCTCTACCGGTTATTTCCCTACGGCATCACTGCACCTGAGTCCTCAAACACTCGTTAACACAGCATGGGAAAGGAAAGCCATGCTATCGTGTAACTTGGCCTCTCTCACCCTGCATATATCTATAGATTTCTAAGTCATTACCCTGTGTGTGTGTGTGTGTGTGTGTGTGTGTGTGTGTGTGTGTGTGTACATGTTCAGGCCATCTTAGGAGCCCACACTTTTTCTCTTTAGAAGTTAATTATCTCAGATGTTTTAATATATCAATGGAAAGCTGACTATCATAACTGATTCACACTTTGCCAGGTTCTTACATTTTAAGTAGTTTGAAGCACTTCATCACTAAGAATGGTCATAACATGATTTATGTGCTGTTGCTGGATATTTCCACTGTTTCTTTTATTCTACTTTGTTTTTGTTGTTGTTGTTATTTTGTTTTGAGATAGGGTCTCATGTAGCCCAGGCTGGCCTCACACTTATTATATAGCCGAAGGTGACCTTGAATTCCTGATCCCCTGCCCCTACTCACTAAGTGTTGGGATTTTAGGTGTGTGCCGGCATGCATGGTTTATGCAACCCTTGAAATCAAATCCAGAACTTCATGCATGCCCAGCACTCTACTAGCTAAGCCATATCCCCAAACCAAAGATATTTTTTGTTTGTATTATCTTTATTTTATTGTTTGAGGCAGGATCTCATGTAGACCAAACTAGCCTCAAACTCACTATATAGAGGCTCTTCAAAAAGCAAGCTGCTATCTGCAAACCTTTATTTATGTGTCTGTTGCTCACGGTCTGCATTTTTATCAGCTGCCTATCAAGGCAAGCACTGTCTTGAGGGGGTTGCAAGCTAAGTGGGTGGTTCTAAAACACAGTGGGCAAACTTCCATGTGACATCTCAGGTGGTGGGAATGCACACTGTGGTCAAGAAACATCATTGTGTAGCCTCTGGCATCAGAGAAGGCTGCCTCCAGCACCCATATGTGAGCTGGGCATGCTTGGGCAGCTTGCAGAGTGGTAGTAGTCAAGCTAGGGACATAAACCATGAAAAAAACTTCCAGGTGGGAATACATGGGACCCACCCAAGAGAAGCAATTCTACTGGTCATAGAAGACAGTGGTGGTTGCATTGAGGAAGAGTCCTGGCCACTTCACAGAGATCTTTTATGGAGGTCTGTGAGTGCCTGGCTAATTGTCTCAGTCAGGGTTTCTATTGCTGTGAGGAGACACCATGACCACAGCAACAATTAGAAAGAAAAACATTTAAGGGTGGTTACAGTTCAGAGGTTTGGTCCATTATCATCATAGCAGCACATGGAGGCATGCAGGCAGGCATGATGCTGCAGCAGCAGCTGAGAGTCCTACATCTTGATCCACAGGCAACAAGAAGTGAACTGAACTAGACCTAGCTTGGCATAGGAAACCTCAAAGCCCATCCCTACCGTGACACATTTCCTCCAACAAGGCCACACCTACTTCAATAAGGCCACACCTCTTAATAGTGCCACACTCTATGAGCTTGTGGTAGTCAGTTACATTCAAACTCCCACATTAATCGTCTGGGGATGTTTCCTACTGTAGGGAAGAATCATTAAACAAACAAACTAACTAAAAGACAAAGGTCAGGGAGCTGGGATTTAGCTCAGTTGGTAGACTGATGGCATAACATTCCCAAATCTCGGGGTTCAATCTCCAGCACCTCACAAACTGGGAAGGAGGAGGCAGGAGGATCAGAAGTTCAAGGTCATCCTCAGCCGCATAGTAAGTTTGAAGCCAACCTGGGCTATGTGAGATCTTGCCTCAAAAAGAAAAAAAAAAGCCAAGAGACTCAGTGGCACTGTGCTTGCCCCGCATGCCTGAGCCCCAGGGTCCCATCCCTGCAACACACATGAAAGAAGTAGAGAAAAATTCAAGACATAATGACTCATATTTATATATCCACTGTGTATGCTTAAGTTAAAATAAGGTTTCAAAGTAAGAATGGATACAGTAATTGCCATCTTACAATATAAAATCAATCTTCATCATGTAACTTGTTACATTGCATGGAAAATGCGTGGATGAATATATTGGAGATGACTCCATGCTTCTCCATGAGAACCGATGTCAGCAACAGCTTTACACTTCTCCTTTCATGATTCTAGATTGTAACTGTTCTGCTGTGAATCCTGTTGTTTAAACAATGGTACTGTTTATATTGGAATTATGCTGATTTTAAACTTAGGGTAAACCATTTATCCACCTTAACCTTATAGGGAAGGGGCATGTATACTGTGTGTGGGGGAGATTGTGTTAATCCCATTTTTGTTGTTGTGATAAAATACCTCAACAAAAGGAAACTTAAGGGAGACTTAGTGTATTTTAGCTCACAACTCCAGGTTACAATCCATCAATCAGGGGAGCAGGAACCCAAAGCAGTTAGTCCCATCACATCCACAGTTAAGAGCAGAGAGAAATGAATGCTACATGCTTAATACTTAGCTCACTTTCTCCATGATTACGGTCTAGGGCCCGATTCTAAGGAATGGTACTGCCCACAGTAGGCTGGGTCTTCCCACATCAGTTAACAATCAAGATAATTCCCCCACAGACACTGGCCAACCTGATCTAGACAAATCTTCACTGAGACTCTTCCCAGGTAATTCCAGATTATAGCAAGTTGGTAATTAAAACTAACCAGTGTTGGAGTCTTGTTTGCAACATGTTTGAGGGTGTTAATAGATTTCACTAAGTAGGATTCAAGGATGGTGTGTTCTTCTGTAAGCAATCCATGCAAAAGGAAAAAAGGAGGCCCCTGACATTCAAAATGCTAGACAAGAAAGAACAACTGGGCTTGACAGGTGGCTCAGTGCTTAAGAGTACTTGTTGCTCCTGCAGAGGACCTGGGTTCTATTCCCACCACCCACATGACAGCTCACAACTGTCTGTTAACTACAGTCCCAGTGATCTGACTCCTTCTTCTGATCTCAGAGGACACCAGACATGCACATGGTACACAAACGTACATGTAGGCAAAACAGTCATACACACAAAATAATAAAACAAATCTAAAGACAGAGAGAGAGGGTAACTCTCTAGGCCAGTTATAGAGCAATAACTGAAGGGCATTAGGGGCTATGAGTGAAAGAAAGAGACTCTGGGAAATTTTTAGACAGAAAATGAGTGTACTGGAAGGATCTAAGCTGACTTACAAAATGGAAGAGAAAGCTAGACGTGAGTCCCAGAAAAGACCAGAAGCCAGAGCGTGTGTGTGTGCGTGTGTGTGTGTGTGTGTGTGTGTGTGTGTGCGTGCTCGCGCGCGCATGCGTGCGTGTATGTGGTGGGGGGGGGTACTGCAGATACCAGAATGAGTGAGTCATCCCTTGGGATCTCACTGTCTGTGTTCACTCTCACCTTTTTTAGTTGGTATTTGTGTCACCTAGCTTGAGATTTCCATCTGTATTTCTGACACACAGGTCAGCCTTCCAGCTCTGTAATCTTCAGTTTTCCCAAGACTGAATTCAGTATGAATAAGCAATACCAGGAGAATGGATGCCAGGAAGCCAAGGGACCAGACCCCACTATAAATGTAGTTATCTGTCATGAAATTTGCTGTCTTGGTAGCCTCCTTTAAGGTAGTCTGTTGAAAGTATTTAGAATAAGACATTTCATGGGCTGGAGAGACTGCATTTACTGCCAAGCTTGATGATCTAGGTTCGAGCCCTGGGTCCCCTATAGTGGAAGGAGAGAACTGACTTTTGTAAGTTGTCCTCTGACTTCCATGTGTGCACAATGCCCAGCACACATGCACACACAAACATATAAAAAGCTGTAAATGCCTTAGAAAGATTAAAACCAAAAAGTAGTTGTCAGTGTCCTGTACTTGCTTCAGATCAGCTCTTCATAAGAGAGCCTGCTTCTGGGGAAAGCGCTGAGTCCACATCGTGACCAGATTTTTCCTCCTCTTGCTTTCTCATTTCTTCCTCAGGTAGTAGAAGCTGTTAATGGCACAACCTTCAGCTGCTGCAACAATGAGACTGTAGCTCTGATGCCCACCATGGACTCACGACTCTACATGCTCACCTTCCTGCCCGTTCTGGGGCTTCTGGTCTTTATTCGGAACCTCCGTGTCCTTACCATCTTCTCCCTGTTGGCCAACATCAGCATGCTGGTCAGCCTAATCATCATTGCCCAGTACATCATCCAGGTTGGTGCACAGCGTCCACTGACTCCCTGGGAGACAGGGCCCTTGTACCCATATGAGGCATCAGGCCCCAAGTCCTAAGGTGGGTATGGTATGTTCCTCACCCTTCAGCCTAGGACCCATCTTGTTATAGCTTTCCCCCTTTGTACTGTCTTGTATTTTTAGCTGTCTTATTCCTTCTGTGTCTCCAAATGACTGTTTTTAATACCAAATCTAGCTTCTTTTAATTTTTTATTTAAATTAGAAACAAGCTTGTTTCACATGTCAACCCCAGCTCCCTCTCTCTCCCCTCTTCCCCTCCCCCCCCCAACCTCCAACTCAATCCCCACTTTGCTCCCCAGGGAGGGTGAGGCCCTCCATAGGGGATCTCCAGAGTCTATCATTTCATCCCAGGCAGGGCCTAGGCCCTCCATCATGTGTCCAGGATGAGAGAGCATCCCTCCATGTGGAATGGGCTCCCAAAGCCCATTTGTATGCCAGGGATAAATACTGATCTACTACCCAAGGCCCCATAGATTGTCAAGGCTTCCTCACTGACACCCAAATTTAGGGGTCTGGATAAGTCCCATGCTGGCCTCACCATCAGTCTAGGGCCCATGATCTCCCCCTTGTTCAGATCAGCTGTTTCTGTGGGTTTCACCAGCCTGGTCTAGGAAACAGGAAGGACCCTAAGAAAGATATGCATGGGGAATGGGGAAGGGGAATGGGACAGGATATCCTGAGCAGATTGTGAGCATGGAGAGAGGGGAGAGGGAGCTGTAAAAAGAAGGGGAGAAAAGGAGTGATTATGCTCATCACTCCTCCCTCTCTGCAACTGGGTTCCAGGAGTTCAGTTCACTGTTTAGCTGTGGGTGTCTGCTTCTGCTTCCATCAGCCACTAGATGAAGGCTCTAGGATGGCATATAAGGTAGTCCTCAACCTCATTATTGGGGAAAGTCTTTTAAGGTAGCCTCTCCACTATTGCTTAGTTTGCCAGTTGGTGTCATCCTTGTAGATTTCTGGAAATCTCACTAGTGCCAGATCTCTCCTCAAACCTATAATGACTCCCTCTGTTATGGTATCTCTCATCCTATTCTCCTCTGTTCTTCAACCTTCCTGCTCCCTCATGTCCTCCTCTCCCCTCCTCTTCTCCCCTTCTCTTTTCCCAGCTCCCTCTCCCCTCCCTCCATGCTCACAATCTGCTCAGGATATCCTGTCCCATTCCCCTTCTCTGGGTTGCCATGCATATCTCTCTTAGGGTTCTTCCTGTTTCCCAGGCTCTCTGTCAATGGGATTGTAGGCTGGCACTCCCCTGCTCCATGTCTAAAATCCATATATGAGGGAGTACATACCATGTTTGTCTTTTTGTAACTAGGTTACCTCACTCAGGATGGTTTCTTCTGGTGTCATCCACCAAATCCAGCTTTTTAAAAAGCTACGTTTGCAGGGTTGGGGAGACAGCTCCATTAGTAAACTGTGTGCTGCAAGCATATGAGGACCTAAGTTTAAATCCCCAGAACCTGTGTAAGAGCCAGGGTGCTGTGGTACAGGCTTGTAATTCCAGCACTGGAGTGGGGGAGTTGGGGTAAGCAAAGCAGAAACAGGAAGATCTCTGAGGCTGGCTGACCAGGCAGTCTAGTCAAATTGATGGGCTCCAAGTTTAATGAGAGACCCTGACTCAAAAATTAAAGTGAAGAGGGACCATAAAGACACCTGACATTGACACTGACCTGACATTGACCTCTGGCCTCCGCATGCACCCACACATATGCCTTCACATCTGTACATACATATGCTACTTCTGATTTATGTTGGGGCTCTTCCAGGAATCTTCAATTATAAAATCTATCTTGTGTTTCTTTTAACATTCTGGGCCACGGGCGAGTAGAGCATTTACTCCACTTCTGTTCTCTCCCTTTAATCTTCAGCTCAGAAAGAGAAGAGCAGACTTTCACATTCAACCTACTGTGTTGGGCTCCCTAGAATAGTCTATAACTGCATTGCAATAATCTCTCACACTCATAGATGTTCTTGGGTGCCATTGGGTGCTGCTAATCTGTGATGCATGTAATATACTTTTAGAGACTTCTGATAAACCTGCTCCCTTCATGATCTTCTATGCTTTGACAATACCTGCATGTTCCTACCTTCTGGCTCTTTGGTACTGTGCAATACTAAAGTCAATATTTATAATTTGTACCTCATTCTAAAGGCTTGCCGAAATTTTTGGCATTCAGTGTTCTCAAATCCAGCTCTCCTCTCAGAGTCCTTTTTGCTTAGAGGAGCCCATGGAGTGACAATCTCATATTTCTCTCTCCTGTAGGGAATTCCAGACCCTAGCCAGTTGCCACTGGTAGCAAGCTGGAAGACCTACCCTCTCTTCTTTGGAACAGCCATTTTTTCATTTGAAAGCATCGGCGTGGTAAGCTTGTAATGAAGGTGGCCTTTCCCTGGACCTGTGAACCCGTTTCTGGGAAGGAGCTCTGAGTTCTGGCTTTGTGTGTGTTTTTGGTCATTGGGTTAGGCCTGTGAAAATTACACATGGGATAAAGCAACCTCTAGTCTCATTTAGATCAGTTGTCACCAGCAGACGAAAAGTAGGTTATGGCAGAGAAGCAATCCAGGAATTATTTTTGTCAGTGTCTTTTCAATGTTATCTTCCCAGCAATAAGCTAAGCGTTTCCTAGTCTTTTTTAAATTAAGACTGGTGATTGTACATAATTTAAATGAAAAGACTTCATAAAAGATATAGGTGTTTTAACCAGACACACGCCTTTAATCCCAGCATTTGGGAGGCAGAGGCAAGTGGGTCTCTGAGTTCAAAGTCAGCCTGATCAACAGATCAAGTTCCAGGACAGCCAGGGCTACACAGAGAACCCTGTCTGAATACCCTCCCAACAAACATAAGTGTTTTAAACTGAAAAAGAAGTGTGTGTGTTTTCAATCGATTATGGACTAGGGATGTAGCTTAGCCAGTGAAGAGCTCCCCTCGAGTATACAAAGCCCCAAGTTCCATCCTCAGCACCACATGAACTGTAAACCCTGCCCTCAGGAGAGGGAAGTAGGAGGATCAGGAGTTCAAAGTCAGCCTCAGCACCACAGCTTATTCAAGGGGCTACATGAGACCCTGTCTCACCAAAAAAAAAAATTCCTTTCCTCTCTATTTAAGGACAAGGCTGCATAACAACGTCGATATGAGCATCTTCTCAGCCTCTTTTGGTCATTCTAATCTCTGCTGACGCCTGTAACCCTCCCTCGGTGCTCATAACTCAGAACAGCCACTGAGTGGTCGGTTCTACCTCTCTTCAGCTTACCCACTGAGGAGTCTGAGCTGTCTCTAGTCTGTAACATCTGTGAGCAATGCTCCTAATGTTCACTCTGAGAACTTGCGTATGGGTCTTACATAGATTTAACTTTTTCTTCTCTAGGAAGAGGCTTCTGGATCGCCTACTTATAGACGTTTAGAAGAGTAATTTTGGCCAGATGTTTGTTATTGCTGGTTAGGCAAGTGGTTCTACCAGTGAGTTCCACCCCAGCCCTGACTGACACTTTTCACTTCGTCCGTAACACGTGAGCACTGCAGCCCTTCCACACTGGGACTGGTGCTTGTCTGGACTGCAGGTCCGGAGTGCATGTGGGAGTGCGCTGGGAATTGAACCCAGGACCTCAAGCATGCTAACCAGAGCTCCACCACTGAGCTGTGCCCCCAGTCCCAGCATATTTTTATTTCAAGCATTCTGCAGTGTGTAGTGGTATTTGATTGCTGCTTAATTTGCATTGTACTAATGACAACTGGTTACGAGTATCATTTGCACTCTTTATACATCTTTAACTGTTTGTTTTGAGTAGCACGTGAGTGAGTGAGCTGTGCGTGTGGAGTCAGTTCTCCCCTGCACCTTTTGAGGTGTCTCTCTTACTGCTTCAGCTGCTATCGGGCCCCCAGGCTAGCTGGCCTGTGAGCTTTCTGCCAAGTCTCCTGTCTCTGCCTCTGACCTCCCCTTAGGAGTGCCAGGATTAGAGATGTGGCCATTACATCCAGCTTTTTGTGGACTGGGGGAATCGAACTCAGGTCATCAGGCTTTCCCTGTAAGTGCTTTCCCCGCTGAGCCCTCTTGCTGACCCTCCTTTCCGCTGTGTAGTTAGTGTTTGTGTGTCTCCTTTGTGATGTATTCAAATCTTGCTTTGTTTTTTGAGACAGGGTCTTGATATGGCTCTCTGACTGACTCCCAAGCCAGGTGTGTGCCCAACCTGTACAAATCTTTCATAAGTACTTCTTTATCAGAGTTTGCCAGCTCCTAGCCAAACTCCTTTTAATGATCCTGTGACCAGAAAGCCTGGCTTTTGACTCCCTATGCTTTCACGTACTTCCCGTGTTTCTTCTGTGTGTTTGTCAATGTCTTAAACAGAGAGAGAAAGATAGAGAGACAGACAGACAGACACGTGCACACACACACACACACACACACACACACACACACACACAGAAAGAGAGGAAATATTCTCCCCAGGCCCAGCTTGGCAGGCGTGCCACCTCACAGGGCCAGTCTTCAAAAGTATCACAACTCCATGCTCTGCCCACGCTATCTTGGAATTCTTGGTTTTTGCCCAAGGGCGCTACATCCTGGTTTTACACAGGTCACTGTGCATTGTGAAGTTGATCTTTAATGCCCCTCACTCCTGAAATCCCCAGACTCACTCCTAGTTGCTCTCAGCTGCTTCAAATGTCTGTGTAATCTCTGTGTCACTGGTACACCAGAATGTGATTCTGTGCCTGGGACTTGTCTTTGGCCACATGGCCTAGCAGAAACGGAGAAACAGGAAATCAGGGTTCCTGTCATACTCTCTGTCCTACAAGGGTTCCTTTTCACATCCCCCTGCTAAAAAGAAAAGGTGTCCCATGAGGTGGTTTCCATCCTCAACCACTGAATCATTCATGAATTGGGATCTCCCTTGAATTTAAACTTATAGAGATAGGAAGAAAATTAACGTGAACCTCAACATTATAACATTTATCCCCACGCAAAAATTGGAAACTTTTGCCTTACACAAAAACCAACCCAAGGCCCAGCAAGATGACTCAGTGGATAAAAGTGCTTGTTTCCGAGCCTGAGGACCTGAGTTCAATCCCTGGGACCTACATGGTGGGAGGAGAAAACCAACTCCTACCATACTTTCCTCTGATCTCTGCACACACATGAAATAAATAAATAAATAAATGTAATTTTTAAAATCTTAAGAAAAAACCCAATAACTCAAAATGAATCAAAGACATTAAGGGAAGACTCAAGACTCAAACTTCTAGAAGAGAATGTGTGTGGGATGGTCAGACACAGTGGTGGGTCCAGGGGATGATTTTTCTGGATAGGGTTCCAAAGGCACAGAGAACAAAAGTAAACTGACAAACGGGGCTGGGGCTAACTAAAGAGTGTCTGCATAGCAAAGGAAAGAACGGAGGAGAGACAGCTTTCAAAATAGGAGGTATGTGCTCACCCGGTAGAGGGCTGACACCCAGGATGAGGGCTGACACCACAATGTATAAGAAGCCCAACAAGCAACACCAAAGTAACCACTGCAAAATGAGTGAATGATCTAAGTGGGGACTTCCTCGAGAAGAACTACGAATGACCAACAAAGATATGAAAATAAGCACCTTCTCATTAGCTGTTGGGTGTATCACAGTGAGGTATCTCCTCACCCCTGTCCAAATAGCTATTGTCATAAATCAGAAGGGCAAAGATGGCCCTGCAGTTAAGAGCACTGACTGCTCTTGAGGAGAACCAAGATTCGGGTCCCAGCACCCACATCAGCTTGTAACTCCAGCTGCAGGAGAGCCATCGCCCTCTTCTGGACTCCACAGGCACTGCAATGGCTGTCAGAATTTCCTTCATTTTAAAACAGATTTATTTTCATTCTATGTGTATAAGTGTTTTGCCTGCATGTATGTATGTACACTACATGTGTGTCTAGTACCTAAAGGGTCTGGAAGAGGGTGTCAGATCACATGGATCTGGAGTTACAGATGGTTGTGAGCTTCCAGATCTAGGTCCTGGGAACTAAATCTGGGTCTGCTACAAGAGCAGCCAGTAGTACTCTTAACAGCTGAGCCCCAGAATTTCCTTCTTTTTAGAGGCTGTATAATATTCCACTGCACGGATGTACCACATTTTTGTGTGCTCATTTTCTAACGATGGATGTTTGTCCGCCTCCCGCCTTTCAGTCTTAAATAATCTTGACATGAGCAAGATCACACAAGCATCTTTTCAAGTCCCTTCTTTTGATTCATTTGGGGATGTGCCAGAGGCAGCAAGGCTTTCTCTTCTTTGTGCTCCTGGTTGATACTGTTGCTGCTGTTACCCTCCTCCTTCTCTTTACAATGTGGTGTCCCTGCAGGTCCTGCCTCTGGAAAACAAGATGAAGGATGCCCGCCGCTTCCCAACCATCCTGTCTCTGGGGATGTCCATCATCACCACCCTGTACATTGCCATCGGGGCCTTAGGCTACCTGCGGTTTGGAGATGACATCAAAGCCAGCATCACTCTTAACCTACCCAACTGCTGGTACCTTCACGGCTCGTGGGTGGGAGGAATTCAGAGATGTGTAGAAGTGTGCAGATCTCTTCTTCTCCCTGTCAGAGCAGGGGGACCCGGGTCTAGAGACACTGTCACTGGGAGAGGTAGAGCCACCATTGGAACCCTGGGCTATGGAGATGTGTTGGCAGCTGCCTCCAGGTCAAATCAGGTCTTGGCATCTTACTGTGAAAGGGGCACAACTGAGAGGAAAGGAGAAGTAAAGTGAGAGTCCTTGCCTCGGGCGGGGCGGGGATGCTGGAGGAGAACAAAAGGCTTTCTCTGTGAGTTGGAACCTTCTGGTTCCCCTCCCCAGGCGCACGACTAAGTCTCTGCTGCCACGCCCCCTCCACGCCAAGTCAGGGGAGCTAGTGTTGAAAACTCGAAACAGTGCTGTGGAGAAGGTTCGGCAGCTAAGAGAATTCGACACGCAAGCAAGAGCACCCTAAAAAAGCCAGGCATGTGGCATGTGCCTGTAATCCCAGCACTGGGAAGGTAGAGCCAGGAGGAGCCCCAAGGTTCACTGCCCAGTCAGTTGGGCTGAATTGGTGAGCTCCGGGTTCAGTGAGAGACCTTGTCTCAAAAAGTAAAGTGAGAAGTAGCAGAGGAAGACATCTGACATCTGCATGGCCTCTCTGTGTGTGTGGCACACACAGAGAGAGAGAGAGAGAGAGAGAGAGAGAGAGAGAGAGAGAGAGAGAGAGAGAGAGAGAGAGAGAGAGACAGGCAGACAGACAGACAGACAGACAGACACAGAGAGAGAGAGACAGACACACAGAGAGAGACAGACACAGAGAGAGAGAGAGAGAGAGACAGACAGACAGACACACACACACAGAGAGAGAGAGAGAGAGAGAGAGAGACAGACACACACACATACACATGCACACACTCCACACAAGCCCACAGATAATGTCTTTCCCTCACAATTATTAAGGACTTGGCAGTTCTCCAAATGAAGCAGAGCTCTCATTGACAACCCCTGATACACTGAGTACTTGAGGGAGCGAGGACAATTCCTGTAGACTCTAGTCACAAAAGACTTTAGACCCAGGCTTTGGGTCCCTGGCTACTTTCCTGTTGAGTCTTCCTGGGAGAAGTGTTTAGCATTAGGCCTGACCTGACCCACACTTCACAGAGTGGTCTGCGAAAGCACTCACTATGTGTGCACATACTCAGGGTCGTTTGTCTCTCGTCTGCACCACCCTTCCCACTGCTGCCTTCAGCTCCTCGATGCTTCTCTGTTCTCTCCACTCTCTGTACTCAGAAAAGGCCCCACGCCTTCATCTTCAGAGAAGGAAACACAGACCCAAGGGACTGTCCCAAAGTCAGAGGCTGCTGTCCACAGGAGGCACAGTGTGGGAGTATCAGGCCAAGGGGAACATGGCTGTGTGTCTTGCAGGCTGTACCAGTCAGTCAAGCTCCTGTATGTTGTCGGCATCCTGTGCACCTACGCCCTGCAGTTCTATGTCCCTGCCGAAATCATCATCCCCCTCGCTGTCTCCCAGGTGTCAAAGCGCTGGGCACTGCCCGTGGACCTGTCCATCCGTCTCGCCATGGTCTGTCTCACATGTGAGTAGAACAGAGACTCGGGGAGCCTCCTGACCATTTCCTGAGATGTGTGTGTGTGTGTGTATGTGTGTGTGCACATGTGTGTGCCCATGTGTGCATGTGCATGTATGTGTGCTCATGTGTGCATGTGCATGTGTGTGTGCTCATGTGTGCATGTGCACTTGTGTGTACACACATGTGTGTGCCCATGTGTGCAAGTGTGTGTGGTGTGTGTGTGTGTGTGTTCATTCATAATGTGTGCATCCGTGTAGAGGCAGAGGACAGCTTAGGTGACATTTTCAGGATTTTTGTCTGGAACTCCCCAGTTAGGCTAGGCTACCTTCCAGCAAGCTCCAGAGATCAGCTTGTCTATGCCTCCCCAGTGCTGGGGTTACATGTGTACCCCACCATGCCTGGTTCTTTTTGACATGTGTTCTAGAGATCACTTCAGGTCCTTGTGTCTGCAGGGTAGACACTTGACTAACAGCCGTCTCCCCAACCTCCCTCTAAACCACTTCTAATGTTCCCTAATTGGACAGGTGTGCTGATGCCCAGTCGAAGGACAGATTCATTGATATCAGTGTATTAAATAGTAACCATGAAACAGAGAGTGTGCAAGGCACTGTGGTAAACTCTCCCTAGGCTGTATTTCATAGCATTTAATTCAGTTCCCAAGAGAATGTTCATGAAGTAGAACACTGTCCGAAAACTGGCCGGTGAGTGCTGAGAGCTGGGGACATGGCTCAGTCTGGAGAGTATTTGCCTGGCCTACGTTCATTCTCCAGCACCTCATAAACGGGATGTGTTGGTATATGCCTGTGATCCCAGCACTCTGGAGGTGGGATCAGGAGGATCAGAAGTTCAAGGTCACCCTTGGCTACCTAGCAAGTTTGAAGCCAGCCTGGGTTACATGGGATACTTTCTCAATAGTTAATAGCAGTGAGATGGCTCAGTTGGAAAGACACCTGCTGCCAAGCCTGATGACCAGAGTTCAGTCTCCAGAACCCACACGACAGATGGAGGACATCAGCTCCTAAAAGCTGCCCTCAGACTCGAACACATGCTGAGACACACACTGCACATACATACACTCAATAAATAAATGTAGTTAAGTTTGAAAAACTAATGTCAATGAAGAAAAACAAGCAGGGCTGAAACCCAGGTCATCACAGCCCAGAGCCAGCACCTTTCACCTCCAAGGCTGGCACTGAAGGTAGGGAGCCAGGGAGAATGCTTGGGCAATGGGTGCAGTTGGTCCCTCAGGACTTCGGGTAAATTTAAGCCAACGTTTAAGACAAACCCATACATGAAAGGCTGGGGAGCTTGTTGAGAAAAAGGGGTCTGGAACAACTGGGAGGAGACGAGAGAGGGTAATGGGGGTGAGAATGATCAGCATAGAGTATATACCCACAGGAAATTGTCAAAGGATAAAAAAAAAGTGCGCAAAAAAATCACTTGATGGGGAGAGAAATCAGAGCACACATACATGAAAGAGTAATAACAGAAGATCATTTGAAGCTATTGACATTTTGCTGACTAACTAGGGTGTTCTGGAAACACACACACACACACACACACACACACACACACACACACACCTGTCTGCAAGGCCGGCCCAGCAGGAGGCTAGCCATTGTCAAATTGGAATTGAGGAACCATCTGAACCTGATCTGACATCCAATTCCTTTGGTATTGGGGGATGGTGGGTACTGCTAGGATTCCATGTTTATGAGTCAGGCCTGCTTCCTTCATTATCGGGTTTTACAGAGCCATCACCACTTGGACTCTCCTGGATGTAGCTCGCAAAAGAACATTGTCTTTTCTCTCAATAATCTCTCTCCATTTTCAAAACCCCAAACACTGAGCCAAAGTGGGTAGAGAAAATCCCCCCAACAACCCAGCAATGTGAACACATAGTGTTATGTGGACCCCACTGGAGATGACCACTCAGTTTGTAGCCAACTTAAAGTCTTTATTCCAACTGGCAGAGACTATACTCAGGTATTTGGGAACCCAAGTGTAGCCCCAAATTTTTAGAGCAAGATGCTTTTACAGGTGTCTTGCTCTAGAGCTGAAGTAGGAGGGATTAACACGAGCAGATAGTTTAACTGAAGCTAAGCCAAGTTAGCTGGGGCATCTTGAGCTCTGGTTCCTAGAATAGAGTTGGGTCATTTTCTATGGGAATTATCCATCAGGGAGATCAGATTCTAATTAAACCTGGAATGCCTTCAGCAGGGACAGGAGATGCAGGAACCTCTGCCTTGACTTCCCCTGTCACACTACATACGGACAACAGGAGTGAGTTGCCTCAACTGTTAGCGTGTCACCCCTGAGATGAGAACAGGTGCACTGGCAGCTCCCCTCTTTTCCCCAGTTTTTAATTTTTTTACATTTGTTTGTGTGTTTGCTTATTGTTTACATATACATGTTGACACATGTGTATAAGTCAGAGGACAATTTTTACCATGGGGATCAAAATCAGATCACCAGACTTAGCAGTAAGTTCCTATACCCACTGAGCCATCTCCCATTTGTTTGATGCTGTTTTGTTGGTGGTGTGGTTGTTTTCATTTGGTTTGGCTTTGTTTTGTTTTTATGGGGGTCTCAGGATGCATCCCTGGCTAGCCTAGAACTTACTATGTAGACCAGGCTGACCTGAAACTCAGATTTGCCTGCTGCCTCAAAGTTCTGGGAACCAAACGCATGCAGCACATCTTGCCTCTTGTTTTTTTTTTTTTCTTTACTTATTTTTTCCTCCCTTTTTATACAGCCTCATACAGCACAGGTTGGCCTCAAACCAAACTATGTAGCCAAAGAAAACCTCAAGCTCCTGATCCTCCAGCTTTACCTCCAAAATGCTGGGGTTGTAGGCATGCCAACTAGGGACAGAACCTGCATGTTAGGCAGGCATCCTACCAACTGAGCAACAACCGCAGCCCTCAGCTTTCATTGTAAAACTGAATGTCTGGAGGAGGTTTCCTTTCTTTCAAAGGTGACTTCAATAACAACCTTTAAAGTCAATGGCTTTAAAGATGGGTCTCTCCGTCTGTCCCCCTTCCTCTCCCATAGGCATGCTGGCCATCCTCATCCCGCGCCTGGACCTGGTCCTCTCCCTGGTGGGCTCTGTGAGCAGCAGCGCTCTGGCCCTCATCATCCCGCCCCTGCTGGAGGTGACCACCTACTACTCGGAGGGCTTGAGCCCCCTGACCATCACCAAGGATGCCTTCATCAGCATCTTGGGCTTCGTGGGCTTCGTGGTGGGGACCTACCAGGCCTTGGATGAGCTGATTGAGTCTGGGAACTCTCTCCCCTTGTCCAACTCCACCATGTTTATTCAGTGACAGAGCTTCCCCTCACTCACGGTGACTTACATAGTTTCACTTCACCTTTTCTCTGGTGCAAGACGTTGGTCATTCTCTAGTTTTCCACACAGTGGGGAGCTTTAGATCCCACCCTCATTTTTTGGTCATTTCGTACTTTGAGTGGAGCTATACAAAAAGCAGCCACTAGGGGGCGGCAAGGGCCAGTTTTTGGCAGAAGGTGTTCTGCCTGCTCATTCTTTGGTAAACAGATCACATCCTTTTCCTGTGGGTGCAAGACAAGGGGACCTAGGTGAGTCACAATGCTCAGGTAAAGAGTCACCATCAGTGTTACAGATAAGGGCGTGAACTTTCTAAGTCCCTAAAGTTTTTGCCCAACTCAGAAATCCATCAGTGAATAAGAAAAAAGCAGGGCCAAGCCAATGAGCCAAGGGCAGGAGGCAGCAGACACAGACATCACTGGAGGAGGCTATTTCTGAATTCTTGCAATGAACATCCTCGATTACCTACTGGACACCAGACATAATACCCAGTTCTTACATGATAGTCTGGGTAAAAGTGTTATAAATACCCTGTGGCAATGTGATGGTGCAGCTCCAGCTACCAAATGGAGGAGTCTACATGTTACCCTTTGAGTCTTGACCTTGTAACTTGCTTTGGCCAACAGTAAATGTAAATGTGATATAAATGGAGATTTGATGACGGCTTCTACCCTGAGGCTGCCATCTCTTTCTGCCCCGTGGAACTGACTTTTTTTTTAAAGGTGTGTGTGTGTGTGTGTGTGTGTGTGTGTGTGTGTGTGTGTGTGTACACTCAGGCACATGCATGCATACATGTCCTCAAAGGCCACAGGAGACTCTCGGATCTCCTGAGTCTGGAGTTACAGGTGGTTGTGAATGAACTCAGGTCCGCAGCAAGCACTATTGATGGTTGAGCTACCTCTCCAGCACCCAGTCTTATTGTTGAGACCTAACTGGCCATAACCAAATCTTGGAGTGCATAAAGTAAGAAACACTGATGTAAGGGACAGAGCCAGCTAGGGCTCATTAGCAATTATCCACATCATCTCAGCTACTGGTGAGCATAGCTGAGTGACAGCTGTTTTCAAGTTGCTAGTATTGTCTGTTTATTTCTCCCATCTCCACTAAAGAATCATCCCTCCTCCTCCTCCTCTTCCTCTTCCTCCTCTGAGGCAGGATTCCCTTGCTATATAGCCAAGGCTATGCTTAGGCCGGGCGTTGGTGGCGCACGCCTTTAATCCCAGCACTCGGGAGGCAGAGGCAGGAGGATCTCTGTGAGTTCGAGACCAGCCTGGACTACCAAGCGAGTTCCAGGACAGCCTCCAAAGCCACAGAGAAACCCTGTCTCAAAAAACCAAAAAAAAAAAAAAAAAGTCTGATCTTCCTGCTTCCCTCTCCTCAGATTACAAATATCTGCCACCACACCCAACTCAGCTGCCATTTCTTTAACTTTTGGGGCTCGCTGTTGAATCAGGGAGTACAGAAAACTATGAATAGTGTGTAATCACCCTGAAGACACACCCACAGGAGAGGTGTGCTTCCAGAGAGGGTTGAAGCACACAGCCATCTTGGAGATGGCAGCACCATGCCGTGGACGGGGTCGTGAGGTGAATAAAAAGGAGGAAAGAAGCTAAGTGTGGGCTCTCCCCTCTCTCTGCTTCCTCACTACAGACACCATGTGATCAGAGGTCTCGTGTTCCTGCCACCATGCTGTCCCCACCGTGATGGGAGTCAAAATAACCCCTTCCTTCCTTGAACTGCTTCTGTCAGGAGGTCCTAACAGCAGTGAGGACAGTTCCTGAGATACACACACACACACACACACACACACACACACACACAGATACACACACACACACACGCCCACTTTCAGATGAGGAAACCTGCTCAGAAATATTAGTTTGCTGAAGACCAACATAGTGAGAAGAGGGTGTGTAACCCAGGCAGTTAGCATCAGTTCCCTGCTGCTCTGCCAGGCCTAAAAGTCTTTGTACAAAAAGTGGAAAGTCAAAGAGAAAGTAGAAAAAATATTTCTAGAGAATTACATTGTTTGCATCTCTTTGTGTATGCCTGTGCATGCATATGTGGTGTGTGTGTGTGTGTGTGTGTGTGTGTGTGTGTGTGTGTGTGTGTGTGTGTGACTTATAGGACAACTTTAAAGAATCTGTTTTCTCCTCTCTCCATGTGAGTCCTAGGGATCAAACTCAGGTCCTCAGGCTTGGTGGCAAGTATTTTTACTCCCTCCACCACCACCAAATTTGGAGTCAGGGTCTTGCTCTACAGCACTGACTAGCCTGGATCTTCCTGTGTAGACCAGGCTGGCCTCAGACTCACAGAGATCAGGTTGCCTCTGCCCGCCACCTCCCCTCATGCACTGCCCACTCATCCTAAAAAGAGCCCAGGAAACTGCACAACCCCATGAAGGCCCAATGAACCGTGTGCTTTTGGCCCACATGGTGACACTTGTCACATGTATGTTTCCTCATACACATACTATAACCATACTCTTTTCCAAAAGCAATATTGCCACATGGTGTTGGTGACTGGGGGACCAGTGCCAGCACTCAGGCACTCTGAGGAGACTGTTGACTCTAGGGTGTGATTTCTACCGACTTCTTCCTCATCTGAGTTTTCTTTCCTGTGACCTTAGCAAATCACTTGGGACCTGTGACCCCGCCCTCTTAGTTGAGTGTTTATTGTGTCCTCCTACACCCTGTTCAAGTGCAGACACCTTAACACAGACCCACAAGAGAGAGGCAGCCATATCCACCACAGGCGGGACTGTCAACTGGTGCAGCCACTGTGGAAATGGGCGTGTTTTAGTTCCTCAAAGTGGAAGCAGCAGAGCTACCATGTGACCCTGCCAGACTATTCTTTTTTTTTTTTTCAACATAATATTTGTATTAATTCTCTGGGAATTTCACACATGCATACAATGTATTTTGATCATATTCTCCGCTTCTGCCATGACTTAGTTTCGGTTTCTATTGCTGCAAAGGAACACCATGACCAAAAAAGCAAGCTGGGGAGGAAAGGGTTTATTTGGCTTACATTTCCACATCATAATCAATCATTGTAGGAAACAGGAACTCAAACATGGCAGGAACCTGGAGGCAGGAGCTGATGCAGACGCCATGGAGGAGTGTTGCTTATTGACTTGCTCTCCGTGGCTTGTTCAGCCTGCTTTCTTACACTACCTAGGACCGCCAGCCCAGGGATGACCTTATCACATTGGGTTGGGTTCTCCCTCATCAATCACCAATTAAGTAAACGCCCCATAGGCTTGCCTACAACCCGATCTTCATGGAGACATTTTCTTAACTGAGGTTCCCTCCTCTCTGATGATTTTAGCCTGTGTCAAGTTGACATAAAACTGTACAGCACCCCCCCCAGTCTTTCCCACTATCTCCACTTCCTCCCAACATTGCTTCTTCTTCTTCTTCTTTTTAATTACTCACTGAGTCCAATTTGTGACACCCATACACTCATGGCTGTGTGACCGTCGGCTGGAGCAGATTCATCCTATTAAGGCCATGGCCTTAAAACTGGCTCTTCCTCCCTTAGAAGCCATCAAGTGCCAGTAGCTCCTCAGCTAGAGGTGGGGGGGAGGGCAGAGAGAGAGACAGAAAGAGAGTTCCATTGCCACTGAGGAGTACAAGGGGCTCACAATGGCTTTTGTGGCAGGATTAAAGGTTGCAGGGGAACAAGTGGCTCCTCAAGGTTGTCATACCCAGGGTAGAGCTCAAGGGCGAAGTATGTGTCAGTGGTGCCATTGTAAGCAAAGCATCCAGACCACCCCCAGAGACACACGATTAGATCCCAGTGCACCAGCTCCAGGAAGGCAGCTTCAAGACCATGCTGCTGCCCTGCCCATTATTCCCCTTCCTCAGCCCCCAAGTGTCGGGGTGATCCTTGACTGCTCCCTTTCTTTTGTGCCTCAGAGAGAGTTCATCAGCAGGTCCTCTGGGATTCCACATTAAAACAGTACTCACCAGCCAGATGTGGTGGCACACACCTGTTCTAGGGAAGCAGGTGCAGGTGAATTTCTGTGAGTTCGAGACCAAACTGGTTTAAAAAAAAAGAAAAGAAAAGTTCCAGGCCAGGCAGGGCTACTAAAGAGACCCTATCTCAAAATGTAACAATAACAACAACAATAACATAGTATCCAGAGGGGATGGGAGGTGGCCCAGCCGGTCCAGGAACTCGCTGCCAAGCCTCCTAACCTGAGCTTGAGCTGCCAGACCCTCATGCAGAAAGAAGAAAACTGACTCCACAAGGTGTTCTCTGACCTCAAACACACCGTGGCATGTCCCCAAGTAAATAAGTGAGTCTTTTTACAAAAAGAAAAAAAACTGTTCAGAATTCACTCTGTTTCCTTACCATCTTGCTCATCTTGCTTTAAATCACTGCTCACTGTGCCCTGGGCAGGTGATTTCATTGGTTACCTTTTCATTGTTGAGATCACAAATAACTGACAGAGGTTTACAGTAGAGTGGCTATTGTGGTTCCAGAGGGCTTTCAGTCCATCGTGGTGGGGATTGTGGGTGTTTGCTTGCTTGTTGAGACAGGATCTCATCATGTGACCATGGTTGGCCTGGTCCTCACTATGTAGAGTAAGCTGATCCCAAACTCACATAGATCCACCCGTCATCTCTGTCTACTGAGAGTTGGGATTAAAGATGTGCTACCATGCCCTAGCCAATCTTGTGTGTGACTATTTCTCTCTCTCTCTCTCTCTCTCTCTCTCTCTCTCTCTCTCTCTCTCTCTCTCTCTCTCTCTCTCTCTGTGTGTGTGTGTGTGTGTGTGTGTGTGTGTGTGTGTGTGTGTGTGTCTCACTGGCCTGGAGCTCTCCAAGTAGTCCTTTGGTCCCCACCTCCCTAGCACTAGGATTACAAGTGTGCACCACCACACCTGGCTTTTTTCACATGGGTTCTGGGGCTTGAACTCATATCCTCATGTTTGCATGGCAAATGCCTTACCAACTGAGCCCTCTCTCCTGCCCACACATGGCTTTTTAAAAGTATACATTTACCCCCTTCCTAATTAGGTGGTGGTCCACACCATCCTCCTGTGCAGAGGATCTGAAGAGCTGGCATTTGAGTTGGCACAAGCCATTGTTTACCTCCAGCTGGAGAGGCTAGGGCAGGTGGCACTTTGCATCCTGGGTAGTAGCTTATTGCCTGGACAGCCTCCATTGTGAGGTAGCTGTGGCTTGGTCCTTGCCAGAGGCAACAAACTCTGAGTCTGGGCCCACAGTGAGGCACCAGAACTTCAGTCTAATGATCCCTTCCCCTCCCAGTCAGTGTTCTCCGTGGACCACAGCATCAAGGGCTGAGCTGGGAGACAGGCTGAAAGTCTGTGTGAGTCCTGAGAGGTGTCGAGGCAGTCCTGAAGGAATCTATGACACTGTCCTAGGTGCCTCAAGAGTCTGGAGAGGCAACCTCAACCCCAGCTTCTCCAGATACTCTCCTCTGACTCCCACACTCTGGGCTTCACCCGGGGCCAGGCACAGCCAGGCATCAGGAGCCAGCCTCTAAGACCTGCTGTATGGCTTCTCCTGGTCAAAGCCCTTTGAGGGCTCGTTCCAGCCTGCCGTAGCTGGGTGCTGTACCTTTGCTACCTGCTCACGATGGTAAAGTCACTGCTTAGAAAAGATGGCAACTGTGAGCGAAATCTCTTCGGTGTGTCTAAGGCCCCCTCAAAAAGCAGCAGTAGCAGCAG